ATTTATTTCAATGAATGCTTCTAATCCATTTATAATATGTAATTATTATCACTAGGTTGTATTTATACAATTTATATATTTCTTTGTATATTCCTTTAACTTTCTTGGCACTTCAAATTTTGGTATTTCACCCCTTAATTCTCACTTGAAAGTTACTATTTATTTTTATTCTTCTATTCATTTGCTCCAACAGAAGATCATAATTATGTGCATATTTCTCTAAAATATAATAGGTCTATCAATACCTATAGCCTTCTTCTGAAAAAGAATAAGAAAACCATAAGATTGTTTTTTATTTTCCTTTCATTTATTTTCTCTCAACTACCTTTTGTGTGGCTATAATTGTAATTTTAGTTCCAATTTATAATGATAAATATTCGAATACATTTGCATTGCTTTTTCATTTACCAAATAGAAACAAAAACTAATGCCAAAATATATTTGTAGAAAACACTGGCACACTAATGGGGAACACAAAGATTACTTGATAAAAATGCAGACATACCCAATTCTTTAGTACATCTGAATGACCATAAACAGATAGTCCTATCTTAAAGTATAAATTTAAAGCAAGCTCACTGACAACAAGAGGATTTTTAAAAAATATGTCATGCTTATTATAAATTGTATGTAGAAAAGAAAGTGGTAGATTTCTAAAAAAGGGTAATCAGAGACTTAGCCCTACCATCTATTAGAATAAATTATAAAGAGATTAATAAGAATAATTAAGTTGATGACCATAAGGCAGCTCAATGGAATAGAATAAAGTCCAGAAATATCCTAGAGTTACATATTGGGATGTATGTAAATGTCAGTATAGTATTGCATTTTAGTGGGAAAAATATAAGTTATTTAGCAATTGGTGTTGGGACAGATGTGCAAAGAATATGAAGATGGATTTCCCAGCTAAGGTGTTACAACAGAAACAAACAACCAGATAATCACAGAAACAGAAAATAAAAACACAAAAGTACTAAAAAGAAAATACAAGAGTTATGTGTGTGTGTGTGTGTGTGTGCGCGCGTGTGTGTTTTCAAATATAGCTGAGCAATGGCAAGGGCCTTTCTAGTTATGATCTTTCTAGTTATGATCTAAAACTTAGAGAAAACAAAAGATTTATAAGCTCAATTATGTGAGTACATTGATAAAATAACACAATTTTAATTTAAAGGACAAACGAGCAGTTGGGAGAAATGATTTGCGGCATATATGAAAGATAAGAGTTGGCGCTGGTGCTGCAGTGTAGGGGTAGAGCCGACACCTGTGATGCTGGCGTGCCATATGGGTGCTGGTTCCAGATCTCACTGCTCCACCTCTGATCCAGCTCCCTGCTAATGCACCCGGGAAAGCAACGGAGGAGGCCCCAAGTCCTTGGGCCCCTGCACCCATGTGGGAGACCCAGAGGAAGCTCCTGGCTGCTGGCTTCAGCCTAGCCCATCCTCAGCCATTGTGGCCATCTGGGGAGTGAACCAGTGAATGGAAAATTCTCTCTCTCTCTGTTCCTCCTCCCCCTCTCCCTCTCTCTCTATAACTTTTTCAAATAAATAAATAAAATCTTTAATAAAAAGATAGAGTTAATATCCTTAATAAATAAATATAAATTAATAGCAACAACCTGATAGAATGAGGGGCAAAGCAAATTTTAAAAGGGCCCAGAAAAAAATAACATAAATGATTCTTTTAAAAAAAGATTTATTTATCTGAACATTGGACAGAGTTAATTCCTCCTTCATTCTGAGAACCCTTTTTTTCTCTTGGCTTCCCAGACACAGGACTGGTTTCCCTGGCTTCATTACCTGTTTCTTCCCTGGTTCTTTGTTTGCTTCTCTTTTAGACATCAGTGCTTCAGGCTCTGGCCAGGACTACCTTCCCCTGTCTATGGCAGGCCCTCCCTTGCTCATTTCTTCTGCTCTTATAATTGTATTTTTTAAAGAAAATCTATGTATGTATGTATGTATTTGAAAATGAGAGTGGCAGAGAGAGAGGGAGACAAAGAAAGATCATGCTGGTTCACTCTCCAAATGGCTGCAACACCAGGAAAAGCTGTTGTTTGCAACACCGGCATCCCTTATCGGAAGGTCCATTCAAGCCTCGGATACTCCTCTTCCATTCCAATTTCTCGGTATTCTCCTGTGAAGGCAGTGAATGAAGGCTCAAGTATTTGAGTCCTTGCTCCCCATGTGGAAGACCAAGATGGATTTCTTGGCTTCTGGCTCCAGGCTTTAGCCTGGCCCAGATCTGCTGCGACCATCTGGGGACTGAACCAGCAGATGGAAGATTCCCCCGCCCCGCCCTTTTCCTTCTCTCTCTCTCTCTTGATTTTGCCTTTCAAATATATAAATCAATATTTAAAATACTAATAACATTCTTTACAGAATTAGAAAAAATCCTAAAGTGTATATGGGAACATAAAAAATCTAAAATAGTCAAAGGAATATTGAACTGAAAGAACAAAGCTGGGCACCGGTGCTGTGGCGTGGAAGGTTAAGTCTCTACCTGCAGTGCTGGCATCCCAGACAGATGCCAGTTCAAGTCTCCGAGGCTCCACTTCTGTTCCAGCTCCCCGCTAATGTGTCTGGGAAAGCAGAGGAGGACAGCCCAAGTGCTGTGGCCCTGCACCCACATGGGAGACCCGGAAGACACTCCTGGATCCTGTCTTCATCCTGGCCCAGCCCCAGCCATCACAGCCACTTGGGGAGTGAACCAGCGGCAGGAAGATTTCACTCCTTCTGTCACCCTGTCTTTCAAATAAGTAAATAAATCCCTTTTTAAAAAAAGAATAATAAACACTAATCATGGATTCTACCTAAACAATGATATATTTATCTTAGGAGGAAATGTGTATGTGAGTGGGGTTGTCTAGAAAAGCTAAATCTGGCCGGCACCGCGGCTCACTAGGCTAATCCTCTGCCTTGCGGCGCCGGCACACCGGGTTCTAGTCCCGGTAGGGGTGCCGGATTCTGTCCCGGTTGCCCCTCTTCCAGGCCAGCTCTCTGCTGTGGCCAGGGAGTGCAGTGGAGGATGGCCCAAGTGCTTGGGCCCTGCACCCCATGGGAGGCCAGGATAAATACCTGGCTCCTGCCTTTGGATCAGCGCGGTGCACCGGCCGCAGCGCGCCGGCCGCGGCAGCCATTGGAGGGTGAACCAACAGCAAAAGGAAAAAAGGAAGACCTTTCTCTCTGTCTCTCTCTCTCTCTCTCACTGTCCACTCTGCCTGTCAAAAAAAAAAAAAAAAAAGAAAAAAAGAAAAAAAGAAAGAAAGAAAAGCTAAATCTCTAGGTTCCATGGTGGAAAATCAACAGATAATGCTCCAAACTGAAAAAAAAAAAAACACAGATATTAAAGATATCGAGAGTGCTTCTTAGGGAGCTGGCATCTATAGAAAAGGAAACTGGGAAGAACTATTTTTCTAACAAGATTTCCAGAACTATTTGATACTTAGTATCACTTTTAAAGATTTATTTATTTGAAAGTCAGAATTACACAGAGAGAGAAGGAGAGGCAGGATGGGGGGTCCTCCATCTGCTCAATTGGCTGCAATGGCTGGAGCTGCAATGATCCAAAGCCAGAAGCCAGGAGCTTCTTCTGGGTCTCTCATGCGAGTGCAGGGGCCCAAGGACTTGGGCCATCTTCCACTGCTTTCCCAGGCCATAACAGAAAGCTGGATTGGAAGTGGAGCAGCCGGGATTCGAACCAGCACCCATATGGGATGCCGGCACTGCAGGTGGCGGCTTTACCTGCTGTGCCACAGTGCCGGCCCCTAGTACCACTTTTAAATAAAACTAAAAAGTAATTGAGGGGCCGGCACCGTGGCTCACTTGGTTAATCCTCCGCCTGCGGCGCCGGCATCCCATATGAGTGCCGAGTTCTAGTCCTGGTTGTTCCTCTTCCAGTCCAGCTCTGCTGTGGCCCGGGAAGGCAGTGGAGGACGGCCCAGGTCCTTGGGCCCTGCACCCGCATGGGAGACCAGGAGGAAGCACCTGGCTCCTGGCTTCAGATCGGCGCAGCGCCGGCCATGGCGGCCATTTGGAGAGTGAACCAACGGAAGGAAGATCTTTCTCTTTGTCTCTCTCTCTCACTGTCTATAACTCTACCTGTCAAATAAATAAAAAATAAAAAAAACTAATTGAAAATTACAAAGTAGTAAAAAAGATTCATAAAAATATACAAGAATGACAAAGGGTTATTAACTTAAATTTTTTTAAAATACATAAACTAAGATACACCAATCATCAGTGGAAGAGGAGTGGGAAGTTTACAAAAGAGAAATAAATTGCCAATCACAATATGTATATGGGTGTGTTGGGGGAGGAACTGATCCTGCCAAGAAAAAAAGTAATAAACAAGATCTTCAAAAAGTTTGTGGAAAATTCATACTATGAAAAAAAGAATGAGTTTCAAAAATTTTTTGCACCAAAATAAAACTGATGCTTTAATTCCATTTTCGATGAACATTTTGAAGTACCCTCTGCTATGGTTTGGCTATAAGTTTGGGTGTCCCCCAAAGGCTCATGTGCTAAAGGTTTAGTCTCCAAACTCTCATGTTAGTGCTACTAAGGAGTAGGAAATCTAATCAAAATACGGTGTTTAGAAGAGCCTTTGGGAAGTGATTGAATTAAATTATTAGGGTGAAGCTGAATTAGGGTGAACAGCTGAATCACGGTGGCTTGATAAGGACAGTAATAGATAAGGAGAGTGTAGATGGGTGTGTTCTCCCTTCCATGCGGTACTCCGCACCACCTAGGGACTCTGTCAGTAAGAATGCCCTTAACAGATGCCCAACCAATGGGGCCACCTGATCGTGGACTGTGAATCTCCAGAACCATGAGCTAAAAAATCTTTTTTATCTTTATAAAGTTAGTTCCCTTGGTTATTTCATTGTAGTGATGAAACGCTATTTAATACACCTTTATGCAGATGAAAACAAAGAGATCAAATCTTTCCTTCAGGTTCAGGAGCCCCAGATGAATTCGTACCCCTGGGCGCCCCTTCCTCCTCACCTCACAGGTGTTGCCATGTCCCCCTGGTTGGCAAACATCTGCATTAGCTGCCATGTTCCTGATAGACCTCAGCCCTGGGGCTCTCCTGCTGACAGCTCCACTCTTCCCAGGAGGCTGAAGCGCAGTGTGTCTGTGGACTCAGAGCTTCTGGGGTCAAAAGGAAGAGCCTTTTGTGGGGTCTGGCCCGGTGACTCCGCAGAATCTCCAAGAACCTCCAAGAAACCTAGAAAGACAACATTCACAAGGTCAGAGCCATACAAACATTGCCTGAAGGCATCAAGGGACAGCTCATGTCACTGGGTCCTGTGGAGCAGACACGGTGTAGGAAACACTTAGTAATTAAAATGCAATATGAGTGACACCATGAGATTTTACTAAAAATTAATAAAGGTTGATTTTCTGGCTCTGCCAGTTATTATCTGTGAGAATATGAAAAGGCTTCTTCAATTATATTTTTCAAAATGAACCAAAACTATTTATCCTAAGTGGTTGTGAAAAAATTAAATGAATTAATGTTCATAAGGCATCTAGCACCAGGTTGGCACAAGATATTATTATCATTATTATTATTATTATAATGAACTGTGTAATGTGCAGAATCAGGTACCTCAACTAATTTGCACAATCCTGCCATGTATTTGTTGCTAGAATTATTATTCCATTTTAGGCACACAGAAATAGAAGTTTGGTGATGTTAAGTCAAACCCAATCTACCTGGATCCAAAGTTTATGTTTTCAACATTGTATCATATGATACCTTTTAGACAGTAGGCCCAAATAAACATGGTTCTGTTTAATAGATGTTAAAAATCTGACTGTGAATTTGGAATAAAGAAGTTTAGTAAGTGTTCTTGATACAGGAGAGATATGCCATAAGGAAAATGTTAATAGACTAAGATTAAAATTTGTAAACTACCTCAAAAATATCTAAAGGTAAAGCTATTTCTTCTATTGAGAGATCTAGGGAGGACAGTGTCTTGTCGATGTTGACTAATATAAGAGACAATTTTAGTCCAATCAGCTGAGAGGCACTATAGATTTAGTCTTGTTAGGAAAGGGAAAACGTCCACTTAAAATGAAGAGGAACCTAATTAAAACAGCATAAATAAGAAATGGGTGGAAGAAGGGCTGGCATTGTGGTGTAGCAGGTAAGAGCACCCCTACAGTGCCAGCATCCCATATGGTCACCAGTTCGAATCCCTGCTGCTCTACTTCCCATCTAGCTCTCTGCTATGGCCTGGGAATGCAATGGGGGATAGCCTAAGTCCTTGGCCCCTGCACCCCCGTGGGAGGCTTGGAAGAAGCTCCTGGCTCCTGGCTTCAGATGGGCCCAATTCTGGCCCTTGCGGCCTTTTGAGAAGTGAACCAGTAGATGGAGGACTTTCTCTCTCTGTGTGTCTTGCTCTGTCTCTCTCTCTCTCTCTCTCTCCCTGCCTCTCCATGACTCTTTCTTTTCTTTTTACATTTATTTATTTATTTGAAAGGCAGAGAGCCATGGAGAGGCCGAGGCAGAGGCCGAGGCAGAGGCCGAGGCCGAGGCAGAGGCAGAGGCAGAGGCAGAGGCAGAGAGAGGTCTTCCATCTGCTGGTTCACTCCCCAGATGGACGCAACGGCTGGAGCTGAGCCGATCTAAAGCCAGGAGCCAGGAGCTTCTTCCAAGCCTCCCACGGGGGTGCAGGGGCCAAGGACTTAGGCTATCCCCCATTGCATTCCCAGGCCATAGCAGAGAGCTGGATCGGAAGTGGAACAGCTGGGACACGAATTGGTGCCCATATGGGATGCTGGCACTGCAGGTGGTGGCTTTACCCGTCTACGACACAGCACCCGCCCAACTCTGCCTTTCAAATAAATAAATCTTTTCAAAAAAAGAAATGGGAAGGGGCCGGCGCTGTAGCGTAGCAGGTAAAGCCATTGCCTGCAGCGCCGGCATCCCATGTGGGTGCCGGTTCGAGTCCCGGCTGCTCCACTTCCAATCCAGCTCTCTGCTGTGGCCTGGGAAAGCAGTAGAAGATGGCCCAAGTCCTTGGGCCCCTGCACCCATGTGGGAGACCCAGAAGAAGCTCCTGGCTCCTGGCTTTGGATCGGAGCAACTGCAGCCGTTGCAGCCAAATGGGGAGTGAACCAGCGGATGGGAGGCCTCTCTCTCTCTCTCTCACTCTCTCTCTGCCTCTTTGTAACTCTTTCAAATAAATAAATAAATCTTTTAAAAAAAGAAACGAGAGGAAGAAAAAAGAAGTAAATAAAAAATAAGAATAAAACTATAATAAAGAATATAAACCAAGTCAAATTTTTAAAACAGAAAGAGGATGCTGCCAAAGAAAGAATACTCCTTCTTCTCTTATACTCAAGGAAATGTTAGAAAATTTCTTCAAATAACTCAGTCACAAAGAATATCTGATAGATGTTTTAATCCTAGGAATCAGCAGGCTTAATTTTCTGATCACAGCATAAGCTGTACAATATTATTAGTCATTAGGGAAATACAAATCAAAACCAATATCGTCCATTCACCAGGAGACTAGTTCACATCCCTTAGGATGGCTAAAATAAGAAAAAAGACAATAGTAAGCGTTGACAAGATGTGAATAAGCTGGAGCCCTCACACATTCCTGGTTAGACTATAAAATGGGGCAGCTACTCTGAAAACTAGTTTGGCAGTTCCTCAAAATGTGAACCATGGAGTCACCACATGGCTCAGAAATTCCCCTCCTAGGTGGAGAGAAATCAAAACATGTATCTGCTCCAAAATTTGTCCATAAATATTCACATTATTCATAGCAAACAAAGATAAAAACAATTTAAATATCCATCAACTGACAAATGGGTAAGATTTGGCATAGCCATACAATAAAATAATATATGGTAATTAAAAAAAGAAGCACTGATACCTGCTACAACCTGGAATAAACCTTAAAATCATTAAATGAAGGGAAAGAAACCAGTCACACAAAAGCACATATTTGATGATGCCATTTCTGTAATATGGCCACAACAGGCAAATCCATAGAGATAGAAAGTAGATTAGTGGTTGCCCAGGGCTGGGAGTGTGGGGTGGCATGAGCAGTGAACATCTGCTAGTCTAAACAAGGTTTCTTTTGTGGGTGTTTCAAAGGTTCTAAAATTGTATTGTGGTAATGGCTGCACAACCCCATGACTATCCTAAAATCCACCGAACTTTATCTTTTAAATGGGTGAGTTTTATGATTCTGGAATAAATTCATTTAAAAAAAAAAGAAAGAAAAGAAACTTTTCCCTAAATAATCCAGTAGAAAAGTGGGAAATAAATACAAAAGCTATTTGATTTCTACCAGAAGGTATGGAATACAAAGTTGTATTTAGACTGAAATTTATACTTTAAAATAGATTATTTTTAATTAAAAATAAATATAACTGAAAAGTTATAGGCCCAACCAAAAATATTCAAAATAGAAAAAAAAAACAAAATTAAACAAAATAAAAACAAAAACCAGGATGTATGAATTACTAAAGATAAAACTTTAAATAAAATGAAACAGGGGCTGGCGCTGTGACGCAGTGGGTTAACGCCCTGGCCTGAAGCGCCGGCATCCCACATAGGTGCCAGTTCTAGTCCCGGCTGCTCCACATCCAATCCAGCTCTTTGCTATGGCCTGGGATAGCAGTAGAAGATGGCCCAAGTCCTTGGGCCCCTGCACCCACGTGGGAGACCCGGAGGAAGCTCCTGGCTCCTGGCTTTGGATCGGCGCAGTTCTGGCCGTTGCAGCCAATTGGGGAGTGAACCATCGGATGGAAGACCTCTCTCTCTCTCTCTCTCTCTCTGCCTCTCCTCTCTCTGTGTAACTCTGACTCTCAAGTGAAAAATAAATAAATCTTAAAAAAAATAAAATGAAACAAATATAACACTATAGGGTTTAAAGAAAATAAGAGCTAGTCCTTTGGAATGACCAGTGGCATTCTTAGCAAAGACAAAGAAGAAAAGTATATATGTATATATATATATGTGTGTGTGTGTGTGTGTGTGTGTATATATATATATAAAATGCAACAGTTAAGTTGCTGCTTGGGATGGCCACATGCCAATATTGTTATGCCAGATTTGAGTCCCAATTGCTCTGTTACCAGTAGAGTTTCCTGCTGATGCATATCTAGGGAGTCAGATGATGGCTCAAGTACTTGGGTCCTTGCTGCCTGTGTGGGAGATCTAGATTGAGTCCCTGACTCCTGGCTTTGGCCTGGCCCAGACCTAACTTTCTCGGACATTTCAGGAGTGAACCAGTGGATAGAATATCTCTCTTCATCTCTCTCTGCCTTTCAAATAAAAAATGAAAATAGGTGTGGGTGTTGTGGAACTGTGGATTAAGCCACCACTTGGGATGCCTACATTCTATATCAGAGTGTTGGTTTGAGTTCCAGTTCCTCCACTTCCAATTCAGTATCCTGCTAATGTGCACCCTGGGAAGCAGCAGGTGATGGCTCAAGTACTTGGTTCCCAGCCACCCATGTGGGAGACCCAGAGGGCACCGCAGGATCCCCAGCCCCAGCTGTTGTGGGCATTTGAGGAGTGAGCCAGCAGATGGAAGATCTCTGTCACTCTCTTTGTCTCTGTTTCTCTCCATCAATTGCACTGTGTTTCAAATAGATGGAAATAAACATGTTAAAAAATACAATGAACAAAAATATAGATATATTTCAAATTATATATAATATACAAATACATTTATTTCATATATATGTGTGTATATATTTGAATTGAGAGAGGAGAAACATTTTCCAGGTAGGGGGCTGTTTAAATAAGCAAAAAAAAAATCAATGAAATTGAAAATAGAAAAGCAATGGAGAAAAACTGTTAGAAAAGATCAGTAAAATTGATAATCCTCTACCAGGACTGACAAAGATAAAAAGAGAATACAGAAATTACCAACATCAGAAATGAAACAGAGATATAACTGCAGATACTACAGCCATTAAAAGGACAGTAAGAAAATACCACAACGTTATGCACATAAATTCAACAAGCTGAATGAAACAGTCCAACTTCTTCTAAAACACAAATTACCATGACTCATCCACTATTAAATAGATAATATGAAAAGTAATTAAACAGATAATCTGAATGGTTATATTACTACAAAAAGCTTCCAAATGGAAATTTTCAGGCCCAGATGGTTTCACTGAAGACGCTACCAAACATTTAAAGAAAAATTAGCTCTGATTCTACATAATCTCTTCCAGAACACAGAAGAGGAGAAAGCAGTCCTCAACTCATTCTGAGTCCAATTTTACCCTAAAACCCAAACCACACAAACACATTGCAAAAAAAGAAAACTATACATCACTATCTCTCTTGAACTTAGATGCAAAACTTTTCAAAAAAAGTATTGGCTAATCAGTTCCTTCAATATATCCAAAGAATTATATGTCATATCTAAGTGGGGTTTCTTTTAGGAATATAGTAAGACTGGTTCAACATTCAAAACTTAATGCATAGTAACAGGCTAAATGAGAAAAATCCAGAGATCATATAAATTCATACAGTATTGACAAAATTCAACATCCATAATGCTAAAACTCACAGAAAATTAGGAACAGAGGGGAACCTCTCAACCAGATCAGGAACATCTGGGGAGAGAGGGAGAGAGAGCGAGAGCGAGAGCCCACCTCCAACCAACACTGTCATGGTAAGAGGCTGAATACTTTACCCCTAAAATTGGGAACAATGCAAGGACATCCACTCTCACCACTCTCATTCAACATAGTACATATACACAGAGCATCTCATATCTGAAAATCCAAAACCCAAAATTTTCTGAGGCCACAAATAGAAAATCCCACACTTGACTTCATGTGACAGGCCATAGTCAAAATGCAGGTGCACAGGCCGGCGCCGCGGCTCACTAGGCTAATCCTCCGCCTTGCGGCGCCGGCACACCGGGTTCTAGTCCCGGTCGGGGCGCCGGATTCTGTCCCGGTTGCCCCTCTTCCAGGCCAGCCCTCTGCTGTGGCCAGGGGGTGCAGTGGAGGATGGCCCAGGTGCTTGGGCCCTGCACCCCATGGGAGACCAGGAGAAGCACCTGGCTCCTGGCTCCTGCCATCGGATCAGCGCGGTGCGCCGGCCGCAGCGCGCCGGCTGCGGCGGCCATTGGAGGGTGAACCAGCGGCAAAGGAAGACCTTTCTCTCTGTCTCTCTCTCTCACTGTCCACTCTGCCTGTCAAAAAAAAAAAAAAATGCAGGTGCACTAAAAATATTGTGTAAAATTATCTTTAGTCTAACTGTATATGTTGGATATGAAATATAAATGAATTTTATGTTTAGACTTGGGTCCTTCCTCCAACATATCTTATTTTATATATATATATATATGTACATGTACATATATATATATATGTATTCCCAAATCAGAAAAATTCCAAAATCTGGAACACTTCCATTCCCAAGCATTTTGGATACGGGATACTTGATCTGTACTGGAAGTTCTAGCCAGCATAACGAAACAATAAAAAAGTGCACAGAGATTGGAGAGGAAGAAATAAAACTGCCCATTTATTTGTATATGACATGCTTGTTCATGAAAACAGAAACAAAACATCTACCAAAAAAAAAAGATGTTTAAAACAAATAATTGAATTGAGCAAAATTGTAGATAAGAGATCAACACAAAATATTCATCTGTAGGAGCTGGCACTGTAGCATAGAAGGTTAAGCTTCTGCCTGCAGTGTCAGCATCCCATATGGGTGCCGGTTCGAGTTCCAAGTGTTCCATTTCTGATCCAGCTCCCTGTTAATGTGCTTGAGAAAGCAGCAGCGGAGGGTGGCCCAAGTGCTTGGGCTCCTGCACTCGCATGGGAGATGCGGAAGAAGCTCCTGGCTCCTGGCTCCTGGCTCCTGGCTCCTGGCTTTGGTCTAGCTCAGCCCTGGCTGTTGTGGCCATTTGGAGAGTGAACCAGCAGATGGAAGATTGATCTCTCTCTCTGTATTTCTGCCTTTCAAATAAATAAATAAAATCTTTTTAAAAAATACTCAACTATATTCCTGTACAAAAGCAGCAAACATGTGGAAACCAAAATTTAAAAGACAAGGTCATTTACAACCATTCCAAAAAAAATTAAGTACTTAGGTAGGAACTTAACAAAACATGTGGAGAACTTGTATGCTGAAAATTACAAGCTATGAAAGAAATCAAAGATCTTAATAGACATGCATACTGTGTACATAGATTAAAAGACTTGACATAGTTAAGGTGTAAATTCTTCCCAAGATGTTAATACCAGTAGAGGTTTAACACAATTCTTATCAAAATCCAAGCAAGATGTTTTGCAGATAAAAACAAAATTACTCTGAACTGTATATGGAAAAGCAAAGGAAGTGGAAGTGCTAAAACCATTTTGAAATAGAATAAAGTGGGAGGAATCACTTTACCCGATTTTAAGACTTGTACAATTATTGTAATCTAGGTAGTGTGGCACTCCAGGCAGAGGGATAGCACATGGATCAATGGAACAGAATAGACAACTCTGAACCCCCTCACAACTACAGCCAATTTATTTTTTGACTAAGGTGAAAAATATATCAATGGAAGAATAGGCTTTTCAAAAAGCTGCTGGAGCAACTGGGCATCCATATGTGAATAAACACACTTTGATCTAATGTCGCACTTTATACAAAAATTAACTCACAACAGATCACTGACAGTAGTTAAGAGAAATGAACAAATCACCATCACAGTGGAGAATGTCTGTTTTCTCTCTCAGTAATAGAAGGAGAAGACAAAAAGAGGACCAAATTTTTGTATGACAACCAGATAATTAGGTATTATTTTCGAGTTATACACAGGGCATTTCAAAAAATTCACAACGGACTAGGCCATAAGTATCTTCATCTTTCAAGGAATGAGCTTCATTGTAGACATTTTCCTGACACAGAAAGCTACGGATAGAAATCCACTAAAAAGGTAAACTTTTGGAAACTGAAAACGCACTTCTAAATAACTGCTGGGTAAATGACAAATTTCTTTAAAAAAAGAAACCACCCTTAAAACGTAATGCATCAAACCCAGTGGGTCTTAGAGTGAACTTTAAGACCTTAACATTGAAATGAGAAAAAAAAAAAAAAGCCAGCAAAATAATGAGAGAATCATCCAACTCAAGTTAGACGAACGATTCCATCACTGACCACACAGAATCCCCCAGCACTCACCCTCCCAGGCCGCCCGTCATTGAGCCTTGAATCCTCTTGACAACTATTAAACCGAGGCTGAGAACCGCAGCCGCTTCCGGTCACCACCTCTAGCACCACCCCTTCTCGGGTTGGGGGCTTATCACCGGGCGGGGGAGATGAGGGAAGGGGGGGAGGTGGGGGGAGGACCCACGCATGCGCAATACCACTTACGAAGCCTCTGCTAGCCAAGAGTCAACATGGAGGTGTTACGGTATCTATGCTTTTGGTTCAGGGTGCTCATTGTCCCTCGGCAGCATTGTCAGGCGGGGAACATGGCTGCGCCCAGTTCCCGATTCCCTATGGGATACGCCATGTTGGAGGAGTGTCCATTCCGTACCGGGGATGAGGACTCCTCTAAACTCTGGGAGTAGAGGGGTGGAGCTGTCCCGCTGGCGGTAGAGAGTGGGGAGGGGCGGGGGCATTTCTCCGGACCGGCTTGCTGGAGGATGGGGATCTGTTTTGTGTAATTTGGTTCAGAGAAGCTCCATAGCCTTTTGGAAAGACGCAGGGGCGCCTGCGGCTATTTCCTGGCAGATACCATGGGGTGAGAAGGGGGGAGTCAGGCTGTTTCCTGGAGCATACTATGAAAGAAGAAGGGGGGGGGGAATCAGGGCTGTGTGAGCCCTTGTGAGATACACTGCGGGGGAGGGGCCGCCGCTGTGGCGTAGTAGGTAAAGCCATAGCCTAAAGTGCCGGCATCCTTTACAGCCAGTTCGAGTCCCGGCTGCTCCACTTCCGATCTGGCTCTCTGCGAAAGTCTTTCTGAAGCTTCCAGTGGGAAAAGGACCTAGGTACTGCGAAAACTTCCTGGAAAGTGGAATTTAAAAGTAAATTTACTGAGGTGCAAAATAGACTCACTAAACACAGGAAAAGGTAGTTTTCTTACAGGATTTTGAGGAATGGGGGAATTTCAGAGAATTCAATGATGTAGTGTTTTGGTGAGCTCAAAACAAAGCAGGGATTTGCCAGAGGGTCAATCTCGGGTCTGCACCAGAAGCGAACCCACAGTTGGCCAAGGGATCATGTCGAACACTGTGTCCAGATATCCTCTATCCGAAGCTCTGAACCGGGCTTGCTTTCCTGTATCTAAGTGACTTAGAATCTCCCGTAAGAGTCAAGTGTTTCATTCTTAGGTGTATAATGTTAAACAGCAAAGTGTCTGGTAGTCTATGATTAAAGAGAAAAAACTTTTTCGTTGACTAGTGTAACGCCATAAAGAACCCCTTCTCTGAGCAGTGCTCACTCAGTGTCCTGGTACTTTATGGCATTAGAACATAGCATATCCTTAGGAGAAGTAATGTTTCCTGTTAGCTTTGTGTCTGGCTTTATCGGTACCTGTTCTTCCAGCCTGTTGAATAACAGGGCAGATGGTGTGTAGTCTGATTTCTTTTTTACTTTGAGAAGGAGTGGACTCTCTGATTATCCCGGATTCTCTTTCTGCCCCTGCATCCCTAGTGTGGGTGTTTGTAGAATAAATAAAAGAAAGCAGAAATGGAATCAGTGGAAGCACATTTGTCACAAATATACTTCTCTTTGAGTGCCAAGAATCATCCCTAATGTTGTTGGGTGGAAGAATAGTATTATGGGCATGTTTTTGTTTTTTTAAAAAAAGTCTGTTAGACCAATTTACAGGAGAAGGAAATAGAGCCAATAAACATATAAAGAGATGCTCAAAGACATTAGTGATCAGAAAAAAATACAAGTCAAGATATAATGCGATGCTGTTTGAATAAGTGCGGAAACCTGACAATACCAAGAGTTGGATGTTATGTGACCGACCCACAGGATCTTCTTGTTCTGCTGAAGAAATATAAGTCAATGAAACCACTTGAGAAAATAATTTCGCATTCACTCTTTTTAAAAATATTTTTATGTGTGTATGTATTTATTTATCAGAACTATAGCGAGGGAGGGGGAGAGATCTTCCACCCACTGGTTCACTCTGCAATAGCAGGGCCTGGGCCAGACCAGAGCCAGGAGTCAGAGCCAGGAGCCAGGAGCCAGGAGCCAGGAGCCGGGAGCCAGGAGCCAGGTCTCCCACATGGCCGGCAGGGGCCACCTTCTGCTGCTTTCCCAGCCACATTAGCAGGGAGCTGGATTAGAAGTGGAGCAGCACAGACCCCTACTGCCTTCTGTGAATGAGTTTTCCAAGGCTGTCTATTTACTTTCATTGTTCTTTTCCTGTTTTCAAGTTTTACTCTTTTTTCAAGGATTATTTATTTGAAATTCAGAGTTACACACACACACACACATACACACACACACACACAGAGAGAGAGAGAGATCTTCCATCCTCTGGTTTACTTCCTAGATGGTTGTAATGGCTGGGGTTGGGCCAGGCCAAAGCCAGGAGCCAGGATGCCCAAGCACTTGGGCCATCCTCCACTGCTTTCCCAGGCTGGGACTTGAACTGGTGCCCATACAGGATACCAGCACTGCAGGTGGCAGCTTTACGCACTGCACCACAGCACTGGCCCCTTGGCATTCCCTCTTAACAGTGATGTTGCATACCTCGCAATCCTGCACATCTATTCTTAGGAATGTATTCAATAAAAACACTTGGTATCCTATTCACAACACCACATTTTGGATCAAAAACGGATGCTCATTGACAGAAGTCAAAATAAATGACTGGGCCAGGCATTTGGTCTAGCAGTTAAGCCAGCAGTGAGGGTGCCTGTGTCTCTCACCTGAGAGCCCGGATTCCATATGTGGCTCAGGCTCCTGAGTCGAATTTCATGTAAATGCAGACCTTGGGAGGCAGTGGTGACAGCTCAGGCAGTTGGGCTCCTACCACCCCTGGGGAATACCTGCATTAAGCTTCCAGCTTCTGGCTTTGTCCTTCTCCTTTTTGTCAGAATTTGGGGAGTAAATCAAAGGACAGGATCTCTCTCTCTCTCTCTCTCTGTATGTGTTCTTGCTCTCTCAAATATATATATAAGACAATAATGTTTAAAAGCATAAGTTTAAAAAAGGGAACGAACTAGATCACTGCCCAACAATGTGGAAAAATAGGAATGGGAAAACTGTAATCCCAAAAGATTATATAAACTATAACACACTTTCATAAAATTGAAAGCTACTAACATATAAAACATGAACTATTGAGGATTTTTGTGTAGTTGCAATAAAATGATATAAAAAGGAAATTAAAAATTGATGCACTTTGGATTCAGGATGATGTTTGCCTCAGTTGAAGGGAGGCAGGGCAATGAATTGAAGGAACTACATGGATAGTTGGAAGTTATTTTCAAGGTTACCTTTTCTTTCGGATGGAAAGCGTGTACGTGCTAATTGTATTATTAAAAGTAAATATTTTAAAAGATTTTTAAAGAATTAACATGTGAACTAAATCTCTAAATAAAAAAGAGGGTATGGAGACAAGTACTATCCCTTCTGTAAATTGGGACAAGAAAATTTTTAACCCCAGCCCGAGATGCCACCTAGTGGTGGGATGAGCAAGGAGGCAGGAGCCCCACGCCCTTAATACCTAACCGATGCCACTGGCAAACATACTCTGGCTGATTCCATTACTCACAAATTTGCTCAAATGTCTTTTTTCCCCCAAAGGTCTTTCTTCTCTGAGTTACCGCATCTTCACCATGTTTGTGTTTTCTCCGTAACCTTTCTTTCTTTCTTTTTTTTTTTTTTATTATTTGACAGGTAAAGTTACAGAGACAGAGAGAAAGGTCTTCCTTCCGTTGGTTCACCCCCTAAATGGCCGCTACAGTCGGCACTGCGCCGATCCGAAGCCAGGAGCCAGGTGCTTCCTCCTGGTCTCCCATGTGGGTGCAGGGGCCCAAGGACTTGGGCCATCCTCCACTGCACTCCCGGGCCACAGCAGAGAGCTGGACTGGAAGAGGGGCAATACGGACTAGAACCCAGCGCCCATATGGGATGCCGGCGCCGCAGGCGGAGGATTAACCAAGTGAGCCATGGCGCCAGCCCTTCTTTTTTTTTTTAATCAGAAATTCTCTGACGGCTCATTTACCTGTTCATGATATTAATACGGTGCTTTCTGATTCTCACATATATGAAGTAATCAGCTATTTTAATTTTAGTAGTTTTACTGCACAATGTAAAGGGCACCAACACACACACATGCGCACATGTCATTTTCTTACAATATTATTTATTCCCTCCAAAAGACTGTGTAGCATCCCTGGATGATACAACTGATAAAATTAATTTAGTATAAGTAATACAGGGAATACTAAAGAGATAAAGAATTTATAAGTATTTAAGACCCCACGTGTTTATTTATTACTTACTGATTGCTAGGCATTGTTTTGTATACTTAATTTTTGGTGGAAACAAAGCAGCCCCCAAATCGCTAACTTCATGGAGCTGACATCCTAGTGAGAAATAGAGGCAATCGCATTTTTAAGGTGAAAATTATATTATTTGTTAAATGGTGATAATGGCTACAGAGAGGATGTGGATAGCGTAGCATGGGGTTGGAAATACTGGGGAAACTTCTGCTTCAAATAGGAAGGTCATATCATTGACTTCCAAAGAAGGCTAGTCAAGAATCTTCATGCACATGTACATATGTACATATGCAGTTGAAAATGAGGATGAATGCAAAGTCAGGGTATTTTATCCGCAGCTAAGATTATGACGAGCACCTGTGTTCCGGAAGTAGCTGCAAGAAGTAATGTACGTGAATGTGAGGGCGATCTGGCTGCGACATCTGTCACCCCACTGATCGCCAGGGTTGATTCAGCTGATTTGGCTGGCTAGGCGGGTGTCTCCTTCCTCCCTCACCTCCCCATGTACATCCCTCCAGAAGCTGCACACTCGGTTGGAGAGGTGACGTTCCCTGCTAAGAGGAAGACCGGTCTTCGGTCAAGGGTGTAAGAGTAGCTGTGTTCGCCTGCTAGAACCTCCAAACAAGCTCTCAAGAAATAATGTACAGCCGCAGTCTTCGGATTAGTTTTGTCTTGTATGCCTTTCTTTAGCTCCCCAGATACCTAAACGCCACCTCCACGTGTGATCCTTGTCTTCTTCGCCCGGCCTTTTGGCAAGAGAGCAGTCTGCCTGCCTCCTCTCCCCCCATCCTTGTACTCTGGACCGCATGCCAGGCTGCCTCTTCAAAGACCTCCC